CAGATGCGCATGCGGATATCCGATACATCCCTAATGTATACTGTAGTGTACACTTGACAACAATGTTTCGAGTAAGGTATGTTCCAGAAGAGCAGAGCTTCACATGAAAACACAACAGGTGGAGTGAACAACTTTTGGAAAAAAATAGGTTGCTTTCTAAGCCATGTTCAAAAAAAGCAAAGTAATTTTTTCTTGTAAATACATATTTCACATAAGATAATAAACTACTGATAAGCGTTGTACAATAATTTCAAGGCAAGCAGTTGCTATGGACACGTTAACCAGCAGTACTTTATACAGTTGTTGGCAGGGCATCATTGCTTGGTCCATCATCCATTTCAGAGCAGTGCTTATAGATGTATCAGGGTCCTATTTAATAAAAATAATTGCAAATTTTGCAGCAACATGGAACTGCTCATGTAACTGTTGAAGTGTTAATTGTTTTTCTGCAGGCTTTTCTTCATCCTCTTCAACTCTCTGAGTTCCTTCTATCTGAGAATTTAGCTCTGTCAACATTTCCTCTGGACTTCTTTCTTCCTCCTCATCTTCTGATAGTTCATTGATATCTTCTGGCTGTATTCCTTCAACGCCCTCACCTTGCAGTCTTCTTTGCCAGGTGAATGATTTCCTCAAATTGACTCACCTGAGAGAAATTCTGTGACATTATTCACCGTACTAGGCCATAATTTTCCACAGCCTGCACTTGTTGTTGATTTTGGCACATTATTCCTTGCAGGTTTGATGTGAGATAAGGCATCTACTATGTTGCATATATGCCAGAATTCTGCCACTCCAAGCTTTGAGTTATTATCCATTGCTGCAAGCAGTTTCTGCACAACTCTTCATGTGTAGAAACAATTAGAGGGCTTTATTTCACCTTGATTTAGTGGTTGTATCAGTGATGATGTATTTGGTGGTAAAAAACACTAACATTTGGGCTCAAATCCTGCAATGAGTTAGGATCAACATGGGAATTATTAAGAATCAGGAAACACTTGAATGTGAGGCTTTTTTTTTTTAGCACAAGTAAAACATGACTTTAGGAATAAAAGGATGCTTGAACCAGTCAACAATTAATTCCTGTCATCCATGCTAACTAGTGGTGACATGTACTTAGCTCTGTGAAGACCTGTTCGCGCGTTCTCTACGAATTGAAGCAAGATGCCCTCCATCGAGCAACTTTATCAACAGCTTAAGGAAGAATTGAGGATGGTGAAGATGGAGATTCGGCGACTGACCGAGGAAAACAAGAAGATTCGTAGTAGTCCTCCTGTTTTGAGTCCTCAGGTCAAGAAAGGAAACTGGTCAGTGGCTGGACAGCAGGGAACGAAGTTGACGATCAAGAAGACGAATGGAAAGGTAGAAACGATGAAGAAGAAAGAGACTGCCGTGGAAACTGTTGTGGAAACATTCTAATACATTCTCAGTGCTACCCGACGAATGTGAGTCGACTACTGGGAACGTCACGACGAACGACACCAAGGAAGGTAAGAATATTGTTGTTGTTGGGGATAGCCAAGTTAGGTATATGGATAGGGCGTTCTGCTTGAAGGACAGGAGCAGGAGACAGAGAGTTTGCTTTCCTGGGGCTGGGATGGAGGATATTGTTAGCCGTCTGGATGACATCATGAGAGGTAATGGGAGCAATCCTATTATCTGTCTCAGTGCTGGAGGCAACGATGTTGGCAGACGTAGGAGTGAAGACCTGATTAGCAGGTATAGGTCAGCAATAGAAATAATTAGGAGGAAGGGTGGGAAACCTGTCATATGTGGTATTTTGCCAAGGAGAGGAGTTGGAAATGAATGGTTGTCCAGGGCAATTGGTGTCAATTGCTGGCTGGACAAATACTGTAAGGAAAATGCGGTAACATTCATTGACAACTGGGACCTCTTCTATGGCAGAAATGACATGTATGCCTGGGATGGGGTTCACTTATCTAGGTCTGGGGTGGGAGCACTGGTAACTGCAGTGGAGGGAGCTGTTAGGACTTTAAACTAGGAATAGTTAGTGGTATGGGTTTTGGCAGGAAAACAGTGAAGTCCCAGTGTAGTAATATTATGAGTTGTAGGGGAACTAGTAATAAGCAGAACGAGGTAGATATTGAAAAGCCAGTGACACTGGGTGATAAGGACAGTAATAGGTTTAGTAGAAAAACAGAAATGAGCAGGAAGGGTAAAGAGAAAGGAGAGTCTTTCAATCTTTATTATGCTAATAGCCGTAGTGCTAGGAATAAGATGGACGAGTTGAGACTAGTTGCTAGTGCAGGTAACATTGATGTATTTGCCTTAACTGAGACGTGGTTTAATTCAAAAAGTCGGGACATGCCTGCGGAATGTCACATTCAGGGTTTTAAATTGTTCCAAGTAGATAGAAGTATCGGGAAGGGGGGTGGGGTGGCACTGTATGTCCGAGATCGCTTGAACTGTTGCATAAAAACGGGTATTAAGTCTGAAGTAAACATACAGAGTCTGTTTGGATAGAATTTTCAGAGGGGCATGAAAAACTGATTTTAGGCGTGATATACTGTCCCCCAAACTTAGATAGGGACCAAGGGAGACTACTATGGGAGGAAATTGTTAAGGCCACAAGGCACGATAATGTAGTAATTCTAGGAGACTTTAACTTTAGTCATATTGATTGGAATTTCTTGACTGGGAATTTAGAATCATACGACTTCTTAGAAGTAGTTCAGGATTGTTTTTTGAAGCAGTTTGTGACAGAACCTACAAGGGGAAATACATGTAACCTGCTGGCTTGAAGCCAGGAACATTTTTTTTTTTCTTGCTGATGTAAGTTCTAGAAGGTATCTTCCAGAACAGTCCTGACTCCTCAGCATTAAACGCTTGCTCAGTTGCGTAGCCAGCCTCGGAAATCATTTCCAGCAATTCAGCAGGAAAATGTCTCTGCTTCTGTGTGGTCAGCAGAGGCACTCACACTATTGAGCTCTGTTATGAAGCTTATTGTGCTCTCTCAACCTATTAAACCATCTTTGGCTAAAAGTACACTCATTTGCAGATTTTCCTTCCTACAAGCACATTGTTTTATAATATAAAAGCTTTCTCACAGTTCACAAGGAAACTAAGTGATGCACATTTTTTTCCTCCTGAATCCAGTCATTGAGTTTTTTTTTTTCTTTTTATATTTATTTAGCTGTACCTCTTTTTAACCCCTTGACTGTCGAAACCCCAAATCCTGGGGTGTCTTCTGGTGTCAAAAAATTTGTGAAAAAAAACAAAATTTTCTTATGAAATGATAGAGATTCTTTTCCCGATGGTAATGACACCAAAAAAAAAAAAATGATGGAAAACTTACGGAATTACGCTCTCGCAAAGTTAGCGACCTTGGCGATATTTATGAATCGGTTATTTTGCCCACTTTGAGCCCTATTTTTTGCTAATTCTATTGTTCCAGTCAACCAAACTCATAGCTATGTCTTTAGAATTCCATTTGTTCTATCGATTGAGTACAAGAAACTGCCCATTTACCAATTTCAACTACTCAATAATGTGGTCAGAAATTTGCAATTTGGTCAATTTCACGCACATTAAAAAATGTCAATTTCAAAATAGGGTCCAGAATGAACAATGCAGACATTCCTGGCTCTAAAATATTTTTTTTGTTCATCAGTCACGTCTCCAGGCCCCTCTGATATTACTATTGCTTTCTATTTTGAATTTTTATTCAAACAAAAAATAGAAGATTTACTGTTATGCAGACTACTGCAATACTGTAATAATTGTATAAATATTGTCAACCCATTCATGACTGCATATTACAATGGCTAGTTGGACATTTATTGGACAATGACATCATTTGTTTACTTTTGAACATTTCAAGGTTCTTTTCATAGTAAAACTGATCAAAATCACCTCTATTTCTATAATATGTTTTCCATTCTATCAAATGAGACCAAGAAAACGAGAATACGACCATAAATACTATACGAAAATGCACCACAAAGTCGGCGTTTTAATCCAAAAAAAACGGTCGGAGCTTTTTTTTTTCTCATTTTGCACTGCTTGCTGCAGGATTTTTTTTATATGGTGCACACTGACCACATAGACTCATTCTCTCACATGTGGGCCTACCAGCTTTCTCCTGCTTGATTTGAAGCTGCTAGAATTTTTGAGTATATAGTATACGTCAAACACACCGGCTCGTAAGACGTATATATACGACCGAAACAGTCAAAGGGTTAATTTCTTAAGCATATCACAATTTTGGTTATTCATCATACTAGCTCTTATCTTCTACTTATTGCCTCGAATCAAACAAATTGTTGATTCCCTCACCCCATAGGCCTTGGCTACATCAACACATGCATCACCTTTAAACATATTTGTTACCTCTATTTTTCTTCACTAGAGGCAAAATTTTACATTTCTTGTCACCTTTCCATACACTAGATTTCCTCTTTGATGCCATGATTAATATTTAGACACCTCACAGAGTGAAAAAAAAAGATTAGAAATGGAGCAATAACACAGAGTGAGAAATTGTGTGGTACGAGTCCATGAGGCAACTGGTGGTGGCATGGGTGGAAGGCGAGGGGAGAAGGATGTAGAAAAAGCTAAGTCTACCATGCAACAAATGATGTCCAAAGTGCATGGGAGGGGCACTGGCTTGCTTGTGTTGCTACAAAGACTAGCCATGTTAGAACACAAGGTGGAAATGGGTAGAGCTGTTATAAAAGGTGGTGGTTTTAGGGGCAAAAGATGGAAATAGATACAAAAATTGAATCCCGAACAGATGGAAATGCATCATGTGGAGGCCTGAACGGTGGTGATCATCTGTTTTTTTATTAATAATGTTGTTATTACATACAGATGGTCTGAGTTGCAGTTTTATTCCTATTAGACCTGCAACATCTGGCATAATTTGTTTTTAAAAAAAAAAGCATGCCTGAAGGTTGATATTGAACAGGAGAGAGGAAATGGGCACCTCTCTTAATCTTCCACCAGTACCCAGCTGGCTTTAAAGTTTAATTTTTATTTTATAGCAGGCAATGGATGATGATGGAGAATCCACTGGATATAGTGATGAAGATGATTTTGATGATGCAGAAGGTAGTGGGGAAGAAGAAGAAATGCCATCAGAAGAAGAGTTTCCTAAATTAGAAGGTACAGGCACAAGTAAAGAAGTACACACAGCAAATGTGAAAACAGAAGAGGACCAGGTATAATCAGGAAGTGCTTCAGTAATTTTAGAATTAACTTTCAGTAGGATTGTGTAAGGTGATCTGATTCATGAACCTTTTTTTTTTTTTTTTTAATATAAATGTGCCACTCGAAGGACTCTCTACATGTACTGCTGTATCTTTATTTTTTTTTTTTCATACTTCATATAAGATATTGAATTGACAATGTTTTACTCATGGTTAGTCAGTGAATAAATTCAGTTACTCAACATTTTATGTGGCTTGATAGCTCTCCCATGCTCAGATCTCTTGTTATTCTGGTCATTATTTCTTTTATACTGCAGAGATATGCATTCAAACACAGAATGAACCCATATATGTATCTTAATATTAATGGAGACTTAGTAATTTTACATTATTTGAAGTTTGTAGTGTCATGGGACATCTTAGAAACATAACCCCTGTAAATTTGGAGGGACAATTTTTTAATAGTACAGTGGACCCCTGAGTTTTATTATTAATCCGTTCCAGAGAGTCTGCTGAAGGACGAAATTGCTGAATGGCGAAACCATTTTCCCCATGAGAAATAATGGAAATAAAATTAATCCGTTCCAGACACCCCTGGTCGTCCTCGAAAAGGTTGGAGGGAGGGGGTAAAGGAGGTTTTGTGGGTGAGGGGCTTGGACTTCCAGCAAGCGTGCGTGAGCGTGTTAGATAGGAGTGAATAGAGACGAATGGTATTTGGGACCTGACGATCTGTTGGAGTGTGAGCAGGGTAATATTTAATGAAGGGATTCAGGGAAACCGGTTATTTTTATATAGCCGGACTTGAGTCCTGGAAATGGGAAGTACAATGCCTGCACTCTAAAGGAGGGGTTCAGGATATTAGCAGTTTGGAGGGATATGTTGTGTATCTTTATAGGTACAGTGGACCCCCGGTTAACGATATTTTTTCACTCCAGAAGTATGTTCAGGTGCCAGTACTGACCGAATTTGTTCCCATAAGGAATATTGTGAAGTAGATTAGTCCATTTCAGACCCCCAAACATACACGTACAAACACACTTACATAAATACACTTACATAATTGGTCGCATTCGGAGGTGATCGTTATGCGGGGGTCCACTGTATATGCTTCTAAACTATTGTGTTCTGAGCACCTCTGCAAAAACAGTGATTATGTGTGAGTGAGGTGAAAGTGTAGAATGATGATGAAAGTATTTTCTTTTTGGAGATTTTCTTTCTTTTTTGGGTCACCCTGCCTCAGTGGGAGACGGCCAACTTGTTAAAAAAAAAAAAATACACTTACCTTTACTGAAGACTTCTGGGTGGATGGAAGATGGGAGGAGGGGAGAGGATGAAGGTGCACTATTGTTTGGAAGGGAAATCCCCTTCCATAAAGAGTTCAGGTACCAAGTCCTTATCTGGGGTTACTTCCCTTCTTAGTTTTTTTAATGCCACTGTTTTTTAATGCCACTTTGCATTTGGCAGGGTTGAATTCAAAAAACCAGTTGCTGGACCATGTGTTCAGCCTGATTTGATTCTCCTTATTAACCCTTTCAGGGTTTCCGACGTGCTAGTACGGCTTACGCACCAGGGTTATTGACGTACTAGAACGCCTAAATTCTAGCACCTTCAGATCTAGCGAGAGAAAGCTGGTAGGCCTACATATGAAAGAATGGGTCTATGTGGTCAGTGTGCGCAGTATAAAAAAATCCTGCAGCACACAGTGCGTAATGAGAAAAAAAAAACTTTGACCGTGTTTTTGGATTAAAACAGCGACTTTGCAATGTATTTTCGTATGGTATTTATGGTTGTATTCTAGTTTTCCTGGTCTCATTTTATAGAATGGAAGACATATTACAGAAATTGAGATGATTTTGATTGGTTTCTCGATGAAAAGTACCTTGAAATTGAGCTCAAAGTAGCAGAAATGTTCGATTTTTGCCAAAGTTCAAAAGTAAACAAATCATGCCAAGCTTCCAATACACGTCAACTGGTGAGTCTGATATTCTTTCACAATTGCTCTGATATTATTTATACCATTTCTACACTAATGCAATAGTCTGTATAACAGTAAATCTTTTAATTTTTGTGAGAATAAAAATTCAAAGTGGAAAGCAAAAGAAATGTAAGAGGGGCCTGGGGACATGACTAACGAACAGAGAACTTGTTATTTTAGTGCCAGGAATGTCTGTCTTGTTTATTCTGGACTCTGTTTGGAAATTGGCATCTTCTGAAATTTGTGTGAAATTGGCAAAATTGCCAATTTCTAACCACTTTATTGGACAGTTGAAATTGGTAAATGGGTTGTTTCTTGTACTCATTCGATAGAAAAAAAGGGAGTTCTAGTGAAATAAATATGATTTTTGTCGACTAATACACAGGAATTGGCCGAAAATAGGGCTCAAAGTGGGCGAAATCACCGATGTGACAACATCAGCGAGACCGCTAACTTCGCGAGAGCATAATTCCATAAGTTTTCCATTAAATTTCATACTTTTGGTGTCATTATGACCGGGAAAAGATTCTCTATCATTTCACAAGGAATTTTTTTTTTTTTTTTTTTTTCCCGAAAAATTTTCGACCCTGAGAACAGGTTTAGGAAAGGGCCTCTTGACCCTGAAAGGGTTAACTTCACATCATCTGCGAACAGGGACACTTCTGAGTATCCCTTCCATCATGTCATTCACATATACCAAAAATAGCACTGGTCCTAGGACTGACCCCAGTGGGACTCCGCTCGTCACAGGCACCTACCGTGATACCTCATCACGTACCATGACTCCTCGTTGCCTCCCCTGGACCCCTGTCACTCAAAAAAGTGTTCAAGAGAGGTCTTTATCTGGCATTTCTTTGAAACTTTCCTAAAATGGGACACAGCATTGTCATTGTACATGTTGCCTGTAACAGATTTGTCAAGGTGATGTTCATCCATAAATGTTTGCACTTTTGTCCACATTGTACAAAGGCACCTTCCTCCATCTCTCTTCCTCCTCCTCTGAAGCAATTTCCTGAGCTGTGGTCTGTTGTTGTTGCAGATGAAGGCCTTGTAGCTCTGTAGAGGTTAGCTCTTCATTGTGGTCCTCCACCAACTCTTCCACATCCTCGAAACTCAAATCCAACCCCATGGAATTCCCCCATGCCATAATACTTTCCACAACTGGCATAGGCTCCTCAGGGTCAGCCCCAAATCCTTCGAAATCCTTCTCTTGCACACATTCTTGCCACAATTTTCGCCAAGTAAAGTTCAAAGTCCTGCAAGTCACTCCCTCCCAAGCCTTACCTATAAGGTTTATGCAGTGGAAGATATTGAAGTGATCTTTCCAGAACTCTCTTAGGGTCAATTCAGTGTCTGAGGTCACTTCAAAGTACTTTTGAAACACTGCTTTGGTGTTTGAAATGACCTGCTGGTCCATGGGCTGGAGGAGAGGAGTTGTATCAGGGGGCAAGAACATAACTGTGTTGAAACGAAACTCTTCCACCATTTGCTCTTCCAAGTCTGGAGGATGAGCAGGAGCATTGTCCATTACCAGGAGGCACTTGAGTTCCAATTTATTTTCCCAGGAGGTATTTCTTCATACTGGGGCCAAACACTTTATTAAACCAATCAAGGAAAATTTCCCTTGTGACCCATGTCTTACTGTTACCCTTCCACATCACACACAATTTACTCCTGGCAGCACTGTTTTTCTTGAACACACTGGGATTTTCAGAGTGATAGACCAGTAAAGGCTTCACTTTGCATTCCTCATTAGCCTTTCTGCAAAACATGTGAGTTAGCCTGTCTTTCATAGGCTTGTGTCCTGGGAGTGCTGTTTCCTCCTGTATGATGTATGTCCTCTGGCATTTTCTTCCAAAACAGGCCTGTTTCATCACAATTGAACACTTGTTGGGGTTTGAATTTTTCAGTGTCTAAGTACCCCTTAACCCCTTGACTGTCGCAACCCCAAATCCTGAGGTGTCTCCTGGTGTTGAAAAATTTTTGAAAAAAGAAAAAAAAAATTCTTATGAAATGATTGAGAATCTTATCCTGATGGTAATGACACCAAAAGAATGAAACTTGATGGAAAACTAATGGAATTACGCTCTTGCGAAGTTAGTGACCTCGGTGATATTTACGAATCGGCAGTTTTGCCCACTTTGAGCCCTATTTTCGGCTAATTCCATTGTTCCAGTTGACCAAACTCGTAGCTATTTCTTCAGAACTCCATTTTTTCTATCGATTGAGTACAAGAAACTGCTCATTTACCGATTTCAACTACCCAATAACATGGTCAGAAATTTGCAATTTGGACAATTTCATGAAAATTAAAAAATACGATAATTTCAAAATAGGGTCCAGAATGAACAATGCAGACATTCCTGGCTCTAAAATAACATTTTCTTTGTTCATCAGTCACGTCTCCAGGCCTCTCTGATATTACTCTTGCTTTCTATTTTGAATTTTTATTCAAACAAAACATAGAAGATTTACTGTTATGCAGACTACTGCAATATTGTAATAATTGTATAAATAATGTCAACCCATACATGGCTGCATATTAGAATGGCTAGTTAGACATTTATTGGACAAGACATCATTTGTTTACTTTTGAACATCGGCAAAAATCAAACATTTCCCTTACTTTGAGCTCCATTTCAAGCTTCTTTTTTATCGCAAAACCAATCAAAATCACCTCTATTTCTGTAACGTGTTTTCCATTCTATCAAATGAGACCAAGAAAACGAGGATACAACCAAAAATACTATACGAAAATAGACCACAAAATCAGCATTTTAATTAAAAAAAAAATGGTCGGAGTTTTTTTTCTCTTGCACTGCGTGCTGCAGGATTTTTTTCATATGGTTTTGCACACTGACCATACAGACCCATTCTCTCACATGCGGGTCTACCAGCTTTCTCCTGCTTGATTTGAGGCTGCTAGAATTTATGAGTATATATACGTCAAACACGGTGGCTCGTAAGACATATATACATGTATATATATATGACCAAAACAGTCAAAGGGTTGAACTCCTGCACAAACTTCTCAGCCGCCCTTTTGTCTGAACTGGCAGCCTCACTATGCCTTACCACACTGTGTATGCCACTACACTTAAATCTCTCAAACCAGCCTTTGCTGGCCTTAAAATCACAAGTATTACCAATTGCTGCAGGCATTTTCTTTACGAGGTTGTCATGCAACTGCCTTGACTTTTCACATATTATTGACTGCATAGTACTATCTCCTGCTAACTGTTTGTGGGTAATCCACACCAACGATAACCTCTCCACTTCTTCGAGGGTTTACGATCTCTCTTTTTGTCAGCATATCTATCCATTTTGCTACAACAGCACACTTTATTTCCTTTCCCTTCACCACAATCGAAGTGATGGTTGAATGGGGTTTGCCATACATCCTGGCAAGCTCTGTAACACGCACTCCACTCTCACATTTTTCAATGATTTCTTTCTTGAATTCGATCTTGTTCCTTACTTTCTTTAGCAAAGGGCTCTCACTAGCTTTCTTTTGGCCCATGGTGACTTATTAAGCAGTTGCAAGCACAAAAACAATGGATTATTATGAAATACATCGTATGAACTCGTGGGGTGATGGTCACTCACTGGTAAACAATGGCACACTGAGTGTGAATAGTGCGGGAGATTGGCTTTGTGTGTGCGCTATTGGCGATGTGTACTGGATGGTTGCCAAATCATGAGGCCAATCACGAACCACAAGGCTATATTTTGGCAGAAAAGTTGCCGGAAGTTGGATTTCACAAAAGTCACGGCCGCTGACGGCAGGGGTTTACTGTAATTGCAGTTTAAATTCAAGGAGATACCTGAAAAGAAACACAAGGTTAGTATTGGAGGCAGAGGGACCTTGGGGAGAGTACCAGAATGATGGAGCAATCTGCTGTTATAGGGTGGTATCAACATCATTATATATCAGTGTAAATAGGACTCTGTCCATTCTTGATCAAGTAAAGGTTAGCTCTGTTAGTGCTTAAGTTGGTTGGTATTTTTAAGAGACTTCCTCTATGAGGTACAGCTCTGTCTTTATAAGAAAAATTTCAAGTCTTAAGGTAGGCTGAAAAATCTGTAATTGTGTGAGTTGTGGCTTAGTGGTAAAGACTTCAGCTCACAATTGAAAAAATCTAGGTTAAATTCTTAGGCAGAGTAGGGTGTATGGGCAAGTCTCCTTACACCTGCATATATTTGCCCATCAGTAAGTATGTACTGTACTGTACCCAGGTGCTAGTTAATTGTTGTGGGTCACATCTTAATGAATGCCTGAGTTATGAGCACATACACCTGGGAACATGTGAAACTTGCTCAGTGTTTACCCATGTTTTCATTTGGAAAATATGCTGTTATTACAAACAGTCAGTTTGTGAGTTGAAGCAAGAGAAACTCAGTGTGTTCATAAGCTGCAAACCCTTTGTATATAATTAAGCTTTTCCCATTCTGTACTGTATCTTACTGCAGATATTACCACCACATCTACTACTGTTACATCACTCATGTTGCCATTTAAAATATCTTAATGCTTTTGTCTGCAGGATGGTAATTGCAAGAAGTCATCATTGTCACTATACTCTGGAATGAGCGATATTATCAATGAATCATTCCAAAGTGGGTCAAATTCCTCTCCATCATCATGTTCTTCCACTCCGTCCCAGTCCCCATGTAAGACATCACAGGGTGGACTGTCTCGTCTACAGGCCTTCTCCTCGAATCTTGTACACAAGGGAGGTGGCCTCTTAGTCCATCATCCTGTTACTCCTAAGAAACGAGTTATTACTAAGACCAAAACGGATCACCTGAGTGATGAGCTAAATTTAGGATACAGGCAAGTGGTTATTTTTATTGAAAAGAGACATACTTTTTTATTCATTGCATGTCTGACAAGTAAAGCATTAAAGATTTGTTCTACACTGTACATACATTATTTCTGCTTTATGAGATGGTATATCATTTTATTTAACACACTAGCCATCTACCACCAAAGTAGGGGTGATTAAAAAAAAAATAAAAGAGGAGACTCATTCACCATCATTCCTTCAATCACTATGTTGCCAGAAGTGTTTTGATATCATAGTTTAGATGGCCCTCCAAACTGCAACATCTGTACCCATCCTTGTGAATGTTGTGATTTAAAGGGCCGTCCAAACTGTGATGTAATTACGCATCTAGCAAGACAATAATTGAGCGAATGACTGTGAATGTTTCCTCTTTTTTGAGTGATATGCTTTTTATATATTGTTTGGTGCTTAGGTACATGTAGTGTAGAGGTATTAGAATCATCTGATTGTTGATAATTGTAAGATATTTTATTCTTTGCACTTAACCCCTAAACAGTCCAAACGTATATATACGTTCTTACGCGTAGCGCCCCAAATGTATATATACGTTTTAATTTTCCTGCCTCCAAATTTGGCACAATTGGCCTGAGATGCCTGGTCAGCATAGAATGGGTCTTAACACTCAGTGTGCACAGTATTAAAAAAATCTGGGAGCATTTAGTAACTTGTGGGAGCGCCAGTTAAACTGAGCCCCAGCTAGAGCAAACGGTGCGGCAAACACCAAGGATTCACTGATGTAATGCCATATTAACACTACTCTTTTAAGAGGAAAGTGATGTTAACCCCAAGTTTAGGGTCTGTCTATCTCTGTATCTCTGTCTATCTCTGTATCTCTGTCTATCTCTGTGTATCTCTGTCTGTCTCTCCCTTTGTCTATCTGTGTCTGTCTCTCTCTTTCAATCTGTCTCTGTCTATCTCTGTCTCACAGGTACACATAAATATAAGTATACGTAGTATAAATTACCTAGGATAACCCAAAAATCCAGACAAAATGCTATACTCTGCTTGAAGATGTGAGTAAAGGGGATGACACAGTCTTGTGGCTCTCTCTGAGACAGAGAGCTAAACGGATAGATAGACAGGGAGCTTGACAGACAGACAAATAGACAGACAGAAATGTTTGTGTACCAGCAAAAACAAAGCAGGGCGATGCTCATCAAATGTCACCTCTAATCTTTTCTTATCAGCTGCACCCTCCCCCTCCCTAGTGTATGCTCAAGTAGACTGTACTTTACAGTCACTGTCAGGGTGGACTCATGCTCAAGCAACTCTCGAATGTCTCCTCGTCCTCTCTCTCCTCAGCTCGCCTCCTCCGTCCTCGTCCTCCTCTGTCCTCTCCTCGCTCCTCTCCTGTTCCTCCTTCTCATTCCTCTCCTCGTCTCCTTTCCTCGTCTCCTCGCCTTCGTCCTTCTCCTGTTCTCGTTTCTCCTTCTCCTCCTCCGTCCTCTCCTCGTCCTCGTCCTCCTCCTCGTCCTCCTCCTGTCCTCCTCCGTCCTCGTCCTCCTCCTCGTCCTCCTCCTCGTCCTCCTCCTCCTCCCCCTCCTCCTCCTCCTGTCCTCGTCCTCCTCGCCTCCTCCTCCTCCCCTCTCCTCGTCCTCCTCGTCCTCTCCTCCTCGTCCTCCTCCTCCTCCTCCTCCTCGTCCTCCTCGTCCTCGTCCTCCTCGTCCTCCTCTCTCCTCCTCCTCCTCGTCCTCGTCCTCGTCCTCCCGTCCTCCTCGTCCTCCTCGTCCTCCTCTCGTCCTCCTCGTCCTCCTCGTCCTCCTCTCTCTCGTCCTCCTCTCCTCGTCCTCGTCCTCGTCCTCTCCTTCCTTCTCCTCTCTTCTTCCTCCTCCTCCCTCTTCCTTCCCTCCTCTTCTTCCTCCTCTTCTTCCTCCTTCTTCTTCCTCCTCTTCTTCCTCCTCTTCTTCCTCCTCTTCTTCCTCCTCTTCTTCCTCCTCTTCTTCCTCCTCTTCTTCCTCCTCTTCTTCCTCCTCTTCTTCCTCCTCTTCTTCCTCCTCTTCTTCCTCCTCTTCTTCCTCCTCTTCTTCCTCCTCCTCTTCCTCCCTCCTCCCCCCCCCTATCCAAAACATTGCTGGGACCTATAAATACTTTGTATATACAGTGGACCCCCAGTTAACGATATTTTTTCATTCCAGAAGTACGTTCAGGTGCCAGTACTGACTGAATTTGTTCCCATAGGGAATATTGTGAAGTAGATTAGTCCATTTCAGACCCCCAAACATACACGTATAAACGCACTTGCATAAATACACTTACATAATTGGTCGCATTGGGAGGTGATCATTATGCGGGGGTCCACTGTATTCCAAGAGAATAGTAAATGACCAAGGCAGGTGTAAATGTCCACCTGTCAATGTGTTTGGGACAATTTCAGTACCTAATACTGGTGTCAGAACAAAGATTGATTATGAAATGACAAGAACTACTATAAATTGTAATTATCAGAACATAAAAATTATGTAAAATAATATGAAAAATAGAAAAAAGGTATATTGGCAACACTTCTGCAAGCAGCGGGACTCCATGTTGCCGTCACAAGAGCATCCAGTGCCAACTTCTCTGCCTCATATCTCTGTAAGCACTGACCCTAATTTTTTTTTATTCTAAAACACTTAAAAAATGTGCTCTTTGTTTTTCTATAAATTTTTTTTTTTTTTCTTCAAAATATTCGGGGCGCTGCACAAGTGAACGTATATATTCGTTTGGACTGTTTAAGGGTTAAAGCTGAAAGAGCCTAAGAACATACATACTCAACCACTGTCAGTTTGGATTCAGGCCTAATAAAAACACGAATGATGCTATTATACACATACTAGAACTAATATACACTGCTCTAGAGAAAAAAGAAGTTCCACTGAGGATCTTCACTGATTTATGTAAAGTTTTTGATACAGTTGACCCTGATTTGTTGCACATAAAATTAACACAATATGGGACAGGTCGGCCATCACTAATATGGCATCATTGGGACCTGGAGTGTGTCGGATTAGCGAATTTGCTGTATTACAGAGTGGTTAGGTTAGAATACACTTAATGAACCTATTAACAGAGACTCTTTCTACTACATCTTTCTCATTTTCATCACTGCTTTCTCCTCCATTGGCTTGCTGCTGTGGATTTACAGCCATCTGCAGTCAGTATAATGATGAAATTTGAAATTATGCTATCCGAAATTAGTGTCGGATTACTGATGGAACCAGATAACTGATAGCCGGATTAGTAATGGACAACCTGTATAAGAGGGCACCCCCTCAACTACCTAAAATCATATCTTAGCAACAGAAGCCAATATGTGTACACACACGAAGCTAACTCTTCCACACAACCATTTATGGTCGCGGTCCCACAGGGAAGTGTCCTAGGCCCACTTCTCTTTCACATTTACATAACGACCTGCCAAATGCATCTCGACTACTCAAACCCATATTTGCAGTTGACACTACATACTTCTTCTCTCACCCAAGCCCAGTCATACTAGCCAACACTAAATGCTGAATTACAGAAAATATCTACCTGGATGATGACTAACAAGCTTACTCTCAATACTGACAAAACCTATTGCATTCAGTTTGGAAACAGCTACAAATGTTCCACTTAACATAATGATAAATAGATTACCTGTCAAAAGACTCAGAGGGAAAATTCTTAGGAATCCACCTTGACAGTAGCCTCATATTTCAGACACATATGCAACAAATTTCCAAGAAAATCTCCAAGACCGTAGGCATACTATCAAAGATACCGTACTATGTTCCACAACCAGCTCTCCTTGCCCTGTTTCACTCACTCATTTACCCTTATCTCACCTATGGAATCTGTGCATGGGCTCAACAACAATAAATCATCTCAGACCATTAATAACTCAACAAAAGGATACAGTCAGAATGATAACAAATTCCCACTCCAGACATCATACTCTACCAGTATACAGAAATCTAAACTTACTCACCATAGAGAACATTCATACCTATTATTGTGCCTATTACATACATAGAACACTACACTCAAATATAAACCCTCCACTCAAACTTCTCCTTACCAACCTTAACAGGACACACGACCATAACACATGACACAGATCACTCTTTGATGTTCCCCGTGTACATCTCACACTGTAAAAACTCTATGCACATAAAGGGCACAAAAATTTGGAATTCATTACCAGTGAATACCAAAGGAACCCTGTCTGTAAATCAATTCAAAACTCTTCTTAAAAACCAACTACTCACCCAAAACTAAATACTCAGTACTTAACTTTACCTACAGAGCTACCAAATTGCTCTCCACTGCCTCAAAATATCATTGCTCACCGTGTTACTTCCCAAAAGTAAATGCTCAAAGTACAATAAATTCTCATATTTTAACCTAATGCAAATGTTGAATAACATATATTTAATAGATGTATAACCCATTGTATAATTAGTGCAACCTTATCAAACTCTGTCTTGTATGTCTAGTGTTAAGTAATCAGTAATGTATTAAGTTTAGACTGCCCGTAATGCCAAGGCATGATAGTGGCTCTCTTTGCAATACAAATCATTGTAAACCCTCACTGTAAACTACCTATGTAATTTTTTTTTTTTTTATTAACACATCGGCCGATTCCCACCAAGGCAGAGTGGCCCGAAAAAGAAAAACTTTCATCATCATTCACTCCATCACTATCTTGCCAGAGGTATGCTTTACATTACAGTTATAAAACTGCAACATTGACACCCTTCCTTCAGAGTGTAGACACTGTACTTCCCATCTCCAGGACTCAAATCCAGCCTGCTGGTTTCCTTGAATCCCTTTATAAATGTTACTTTGCTCACACTCCAAGAGCATGTCAAGTATTAAAAACCATTTGTCTCCATCACTACTATCAAATACACTCACGCCCGCTTACTCTAAGTCCAAGCCCCTCGCACACAAAACCTCCTTTACCCCCTTCCTCCAACCCTGTCTTGGTCAACCTTTACCCTGCCTTTCCTCCACTACAGATTTA